GGAGGGAAAATGGCCGCAGATCCTGTTCATCACCCGATCCGGCGTTCGCGAACGGAGGCAAAATTTTGCAAACGGAGCTGTTTGTGAACCCGAGTGGGCGTGAACAGAAGCGTTCGTGACCCGAGGTACCACTGTACTTGTATTTACATTTTAATAATTTTATTTTTTACTGCTCTGGAAATATGACAGACAAATGGTATTAAAATACTTACGATAAGTGTGTATTTTTCTCCTCCAACACTGCAGGCTAAAAAGAAATTACAGGAGGTAATTCCGTTATTAGAGCCAGATTGATATAGCGATTAAGGCACCAAGCTAGAAACTGGGAGAGCTTAAATTCTAGCCCTCCTTAGACATGAAGCCAGCTGAGAGACTGGGCTGGTTACTCTCTTAGCCCTAGGAAGAAGGCAATGGCAACTCGCTTCCCAAATTCTTGCCACAAAAGCTGCAGGGACTAGTCCAGGCAGTTGCCAGGAGTTAAGACTGACTTGAAGGTAAATCCCCCACCCCAAAAAAGTTCTGTTATTAAGAAAGCATAGTGCATATTGGATGATGAATGGGGCTTGTGAGGTCTGAAGGCAGAATTATTGGAAATACAGAGGCAGAACTACTGTTCTTTCAAGAATGGGTCTGGACCTAGAAACATACTCGTACTACCAGATTCACACTTTGAAGAGAGAATATATCTCCATCACACAAAACATTTTCATGCTATCACACATAACATTTTCTTATGAATTCAAGGGCTTCAATTACCATTATATGTAGCTTACAACCCGAGGTGCCCCCAAAACTTTGGTTCTGACTCCCAGGACACTTCCATATTTTACAGCTTAATTGTAATTTTTATGTGTCAAAAAGGGACCATTTTGAAATATATGAGAAGTGATGAGTTTAATTATACTGATACACTCATACATTCATAAAATATGATTAACTTACATGAAGTTAAATCAATTTTTGTTTTTCTCCTCCTCTAGTTTTGGAGTGCATCCCCGGGCACCAAATCAAAGGCTAAGTGCAGTCCTGAAAATTGTTTCATTGTCTTCTGTGTTGGTTTATTATGTGATAGATATGACAAAGCTGTATTCATTTTTAGTTAGTAAGGTATTAAAACATATAATGGTGGTTTTCTGTTTAGTGAACAAAGTTTGTGTTTTGCTCTAATTGTTGCAAATGAAACTTAAAAGAGAGAGAGAAAGAGAGAGATTGATTATGTGCCATTGAGCTGATGCTGATTCTTAGTGATGACATAGACCTTTTCCAGGATGATCTGGCCCCAGCCTTGCCCTTAGTCTTTCAGTGGTGCACCCATTGCTGCTGTAATTGAGTCCATCCATCTTGTTGGTTGTCCCCTTCTACTTTTTCCTTCTACCTTTCCCAGCATTATAGCCTTCTCAAGGTTTTCGCATCATATGGTAATTTGAGCCTGTCATTTGTCCCTTAATTGAGAACTCTGAGTTGATTTGTTCTGTGAATCATTTGCTTGTTTTCTCGTTTATCTATGGTATTCCAGGAGTCTTTTCCAATACCCAAAGTTCAAAAGCAGCAAAACTTTTTCTCTCCTACTTCTCCTTTGCCATTGTCACTGAGTGATCATCGGCCTCCAGCATCTTCCTATATCGCTACTGCACAATGAAGGTGCCTGCTTGCTTTAGCTAGGCAGCTTGGATGATTGTCACAGCTTAAATGACTCTGCTGGGAGTATATACTGTTGATGTACACTCCTAGCATTCTTTGTTCATCCCTTCTAAGAGCCCCCACCATGATGAGGCTGCGTAGCAGGACTTGAGGGGGGAAATACTTATCTATACTGTACATACATTTCCTCTTTCTAACATTTATCTAATATCCCTCAGTATCAGGTTCTACATGCAGATTTTGCTTTGTTAGAGTGACACTAAGTGGTTTATTATGTATAACAAGTTTTAGATTTTATGATAAAATCAGAGACAGTATTCTGTGAATATCTTTCTTTTCTGAGTATCTCCTCCATCAAGGCATCCTAAAGCATCTTATCTGCCTACTCAGAGTATGTTCAAGCTTGAACAACTTATAGATACTTCTGATTGTTGAACATGAACAGGTTTTATCAGGTGCGGATGGAAGGATAAGGAAGCTGGGGTTTTGAAGGACTTATCCAGTTTTGAATTGTAACTTTAATATGGATTCCATATTAGTGATCTTCCTGAATTTATCAGTTCCTTGTTCCATCTATAATCTCTAGAATTACTCAGAAGATTGGCAAAGCAATCCTGTGTGGGCCAGTGGGAGCTGGAAGTCTGTAGAAAATGATCCACTCGTTCCAAAACTGTACTGTCTTCCTTCAAACAGAGTGAAATAGTCTATAAGTGGGTTTGAATTGTTCTCTCAGATTTCTTTAAAAATATTGTATCTTAAGAATGTAATTAGTGGGTCTGATCCAGGAGCCTGGCAGGAAGGCAAAAAAGAGATGTTTGGATCCAAGCTCACTTGGATCCAATCTCACTATTGCCCTGCCTCTAGGATGCTTCAGATTGAGCTGAACCCCAAGTGAAGACTCTGCTCATTGTAGCTTAGGCCTATAGAGCTTCTATGGGATTTCTGGGGGCTGGCAGAGTGCACATGATGCTCCATCCATAGAATTTGCCTTTCAAGATCGAGGAGCATTTCTCTTTGTTCCAACTGCCCTCCAGAGCCATGGTCAATCACTCTGTCTTTCTGGAAATTGAGAACCATTTAAAGTTAACTGCATAGTCATTTGAAAAACAAAAGATTCACTCATTGTAAGAATAATGCCAGAATTGATACAGATGCAATATCTTCATTAGGCCAATGCAAAATAACAAAAAATTGAGAAGGATGATTCTAACAAATTCTAAAATTCTAAATCTTTGTTTTGTTAATTTTGGCTACCTACATAGGATTTTTGGGAGGGAAGGGGAGTGCAAAGAAAAGTTCAGTTTCAAACCACATAATTATTTTATTTAAGGTACCTCTGGTTTTATAAATCATTCAAATAAAGACAGTCTGGCTCTAACTTGTTTAACTAATTTAATCATCCTTGATGAAACAAATAATTTAGAAGGTAACAGTATTTTTTAAAAAAAATATGTTATACTCTGCCGATAAATAAATGTATGCAAAGTGGTAATTTGTAAGGATATTTTTAAAGCAGACAATGGACTTTTCCTATTAAAAATCAGTGAGGGCTAGGAAATTGTTACAACGATCAAAGGTTGCTTGATTTCTATTTGTGGGTTCAGTGAAATCAGCCTTATTAGCATTGGTTAACTGGACCCAGAAAAGGTAAAATGCTTCTGTATATGGGGAATTGTCTAATTTTGATATGAAACTTCCAGCTCTAGTGATATCCCATGGGTAATAAAGATCTACACCTTTAGGACAGAGTTGCACTTCACAGTGGAGGAGCATGACTGCATCTCTTCCCACCCGCTACCCCAGAGTAAGTAAAGTCTAAGTTCTAGACCTTGGGTGTACGCTAGCACCTCTCTCCTAACGGTGGGGGGAAGCTCCACTGAGAAAAATGGCATGAAGAAAAAGGATCTACTATGGTATATTCCTCCTGGATGTACTGAAGGATGCCCTTCAGTAGCAATTAGTAAACCCCACCCCACCAATGTGGTAGTGTTCTTCTATCTGCCATAACTTGGTTTATTTAACGAGAGATACATTGGATGTAGTTGGGGATATTTATTATTTTTATTTAAAAGAGCTGTTCTTCACCTTTCCACAAATAGGTCCTCATGGTAGCTTCCATATTTATTTTGAATTCAAAAACAATATCTAAAACTTTTTCACATAATACGTTACATAATTTGTTTGCACAAATTCCCCCACAAGCAGACAGGTAAGCAAAATAGGAAGCGGCTGCAGAATAAGCCACAACATACATTATATCCCATCCACAGCTTCAGGAATATAGGGAAAAATTAACTGGTGCTTTCAAAGAGTATCAAAATACGTTTTGGGGGATAATATAGTATTGCCATTGTCCCTGGCTGTTTGCATTAGCATCAGTTGCAGTTTCTGAAAATACAGTATTAAGGGATAATCCAGCAAATAACAAACTAAACCAATCTGGAGTGACTTAGTATTTGTCCAGGAGATGTTTCAGTTAATCGACCAACCAAAACTGGAGGAAAAAACTCACTTGAGGGCTTATTTTCTCTGTTGGTTATTAAGGAAAGGAGATATAATAATATCTTTCATTTGTAAACCTGAAAATTAGGAGTCCAGCTAGTCAGAATTACTGAATACATATCCCTTGGTGTTTGGGAGAACACTGTTGTCATTCATGCCTTTGCCTCACTACTGCAAGACTAGCATGTCACAGCACCTGGTAGCCCCTTACTGAACTTGGGTCAGCAGTGGCAGCCCTGGATAGGAGATCACCAAGAAATCCCAGGCCCATTGGAAAAACATCCTGGAAGAAGGCAATTGCAAATAACTCCTATATTTTTCTTGTTTTTGTTGTTATATTGTTGCCAAGAAAATTATAAAACTACCTGGCCATATCCATGTAGCCACCAGGAGTTAACTTTGACTTGAGACTAGAATAAGCTTGTTAAACAGAAACGCTTACCAAACATAGGCAAAAAATCGTGCTCATGGTTTGATAAAAGAATACGTTGTTGGGGAATGGTTAAATGGAAACATATATATGAAGCTGAAGTCATCTAGGAGGATGTTTGTGGGAAGTGTATGTAGGAAGGATCCAAAGAAGAATATAAATTGGTTTAAGGGACTGAACGTTAGGATGTTGTTTCTGGGGATGGCAAGACAAAAGGCATAAATGTTTGAAACCCAGGAAAAAAAATATAAAGTGTGTCTGTGTCTGTGTGTGTGTGTAACTATATATCTGTATCTGTTCCCACCAGTTGATTTGTTGAATGTACCTTGTGTAAATAAGGCATGAGAAAAGCTTTACCATGGTTTTCTGTTAGGGAATCTACACTGTAGGTTCCCATGCTTCTGAGCTAATGGTATTAAATTTCTCATTATGTCTGTGCTGGAGGAAGTTGAGGCTTGGCTTTCTTGAGGGTATGGGAATGTAAAGCTTGGGGGTTGCTGGATATTTGCTTGCTCTTTAGAAAATGGATTTGGAGCCAAATTCTGTTGAGACTCCATATCAGAAGGATATACGCAACAACTCTCTGCTCTGAGTGAGCTGGAATTCAACACAAATAATCGGTCATAAGGTCTGGCTTGCAAATCTCCAAGGTAATGCATATCTCCATACTTGCTATATGAAAATGTCTCAGCTGAAGAATCTATAGAATCCCATTCTTCTTTGGGCTGGGCCTTTGAGATCTGCCTTGCCAAAAAGGAAGGTGTTTGTAAGGCTTGTATTGCTGATGTCTGTTTTCTGCAACACCCTTGGAGGTTACATATTTCTAAACATGGACAGTCCAAGCACAGGCTGTGATGAGACAAAAGTGGGCCCTGGCTGTATCTGCGATAATGATCCCTAGGGGGCTCACCTACTAGAGCTTCATATTTTACAGGTCCTCCAAGGGTATTTCCAGAGTAAGTCCTGCCAGTTAGAGAAGATGCTGTGAATTGCTTAGACACCGTTGCTGCGTATCCTGTTAGACCTTGTTGTGATAAAGTTAATGGAGCCTGGTGGTCGTCCTGATGCATGCTTATCCAGTAGTTTGCTGAATCCGTGTGGAACTCTATTGGTTGCGGGGCGCTGGTGTGAACTACTTCTGAGCTGAGTGCTGTGATGTTTCTGCTGTTAATAGCACTTCTAGGACTATATAGAATTGATGGGTGCCCACTCTTGTTCTTCATGGGTTTTGTTCCCATCTGTTCTTCTTCAGACTTCAGATTGAATGAGCAGGTTTTTGCTTTGGCCCGGAGTTCATCAGCTACAGAGAGATGGTCCCAGTTCAGTCTTTCCGGGTGGTAAAATTTGCACTTGATGCCATATGTGCATTTTTTGCCTGTGGAAAGGAAAACAATTAGATAATTAGCTAGGGGCATGAAAGCAGATAGGACCACCTTATACTTTTTAGTCTTATAAAAACAATTTTTTTAGATACTTTGATTTTATACAAGTACAGAATAATGTTGAGAAAAGATAATGTATTTTTGGGAAAATACAGATTTGGCTGACTTGAGAATATTACTTTGCCATTGAATTAGCAAAACACACACCAACTATTTTTCTTGTCGCAGCCATAATTGCACGCTTCTGTTACAGTGGGGGAAAAAAGTATTTAGTCAGCCACCAATTGTGCAAGTTCTCCCACTTAAAAAGCCATGATTTGCAAATAAATTCTTTAAAAATCAGACAATGTGATTTTGCAACAGTGTGTGAAAACCTTGTGAAGACTTACAGAAAACGTTTGACCTCTGTCATTGCCAACAAAGGATATATAACAAAGTATTGAGATGAACTTTTGATATTGACCAAATACTTATTTTCCACCATGATTTGCAAATAAATTCTTTAAAAATCAGACAATGTGATTTTGCAACAGTGTGTGAAAACCTTGTGAAGACTTACAGAAAACGTTTGACCTCTGTCATTGCCAACAAAGGATATATAACAAAGTATTGAGATGAACTTTTGATATTGACCAAATACTTATTTTCCACCATGATTTGCAAATAAATTCTTTAAAAATCAGACAATGTGATTTTGCAACAGTGTGTGAAAACCTTGTGAAGACTTACAGAAAACGTTTGACCTCTGTCATTGCCAACAAAGGATATATAACAAAGTATTGAGATGAACTTTTGATATTGACCAAATACTTATTTTCCACCATGATTTGCAAATAAATTCTTTAAAAATCAGACAATGTGATTTTGCAACAGTGTGTGAAAACCTTGTGAAGACTTACAGAAAACGTTTGACCTCTGTCATTGCCAACAAAGGATATATAACAAAGTATTGAGATGAACTTTTGATATTGACCAAATACTTATTTTCCACCATGATTTGCAAATAAATTCTTTAAAAATCAGACAATGTGATTTTGCAACAGTGTGTGAAAACCTTGTGAAGACTTACAGAAAACGTTTGACCTCTGTCATTGCCAACAAAGGATATATAACAAAGTATTGAGATGAACTTTTGATATTGACCAAATACTTATTTTCCACCATGATTTGCAAATAAATTCTTTAAAAATCAGACAATGTGATTTTTCTTTTTAAGTGGGAGAACTTGCACAATTGGTGGCTGACTAAATACTTTTTTGCCCCACTGTATATGAGGTTGTAATAGCTGATAATAGATAAAAGAATGTGGCATATGGAGTGGGATTTTTTTTTTTACACTATTGATTCATTCCCACTGTGCAAAAGAGAGTGCAACATACTGAAGTCTGAAGTTATACTACCATAATATACTTTTAATATCTTTTCACTGGCAAGATATGCAGAAGCATATAAAATGCCTTGCCTAATCATTCATATGCCCAAATTCCTACTTCTGTACGGTGAAGTTGACTACATAGAACAAAAAAAACAAGCAATGGATAACTTAAGATTTTTCTTTTGAGGTTCACTCTGTGACTTCATGGGATGTCTAGAGGTATGCATAAAATGAAATATGTGTTTTGTTTCACGCAGAAAACATTTTGTGGCCCTGAAGTTCAGCCAAACTGTTCTGGGAGGGTTGTGGCCAAACTGAAACCTGGAACTTTTGGGTTTGTCTGAGTGTATAATGTCTGATAAGGTGGGTGCTTGCTCTTTGGAAAGGTTTATGGGTTCCAGATGCTGAATAAATATAAATATCTGAATATGCAAATAATGTATAGATCTATCACAAACTATTGACTAGAAAAGGCAGTGGTTTTTGTTTTTGTTTTACAATGAATCCAGTTATTCTTTCTGTATACTGGATTCATTGTAAATTTGACAAACTAACAGCTTCAGCATTTAAAAAACTTACCATAAGGACAGAGCTGCCATTTTGATTCAAGGAAAAGGGTTTTTTTGCTAAGAAAATTGTCAAGAGAAGGTCCATGTCGGCCTAAAGGATCATCAGGTGGCATGAATCTAAAAATACATAATAACAGAATTTACTGAATGAAAGTTTTCATAATTTTCTGAAATGTGCTGAAGTTCACAACATGGATGCTAACTGTATCTTTAATTCAGTACTCAAATCAATGTCCTCCTAGAAAAATACCTACAATATACTTGTGAACTCTCAAACACGTTTAGTATATTTGTGTGTCTCTAAAGCTGTCTTAAAAAAGAACTTTGGAAATAAGCAGCAAATCTGCATGGGGCAAACCCTTTGAAGCTATAGGTATAGACTGTATATTAAACCCAGTTAGTGACCACTCCCATCAAAGTATATGTGAGCTAAATCTGCCTAGTTTGCTGGATGCCCAGTTTCTGCATGCAGTACCTTGGCAGGCAAGTTAGAATGGTTTCTTTAAGATAGCATCTTTGAAAACCAGTACAGTACTGATAACTCATTATAATACACTGATTAAAGTATTGATTAGCATTGGGGAAACTCAATTCAAATTCCTACTCATTCTCTGAGCCCCAGGGTGATTTTAGGTGAGAGGGTCACGTCTGTCAGGCCAACCCACTTTATAAGGCTGCTAAGTGGGTAAAAATGAGAGAACACACGTACAACAGAAAATGTATGTCCCAGTTGGGTGGAAAAGGCAACATGCATTTGATTAAATATTTGTTATAGCCACGGTCTCTGCCTATTTTGCAAATTGTATGTTTATTTATTTATGGTAGCAAATAAAAGTCTGGAAGTTACTTATTTCCTCTTATTTTATTTATTTATTTATTCAATTTATAAAGCTGCCCATCTCAGACAAGTGACTCTGGGCAGCTAACAGTAATAAAATAAATACATGTACTGTGTTGGATCCAGCAAAAAACTCAACAGACAGAAAAGTGTCTTCTATCTGCAGAAGGTCTTTGACTCAGTGGGGCTTTTCCACTGGCTGAACAGGATGAGAAACCTTCACCAATCCACCATCCCCTTGCAGTCCCTAATAGCCTAAGTCCCCGAAGAACCAGATGAGGACAGCAAAGGTTAGACAGGATGTTGGCAAAAATACCATAATTCCTTCCATCAGGAGGAGCAATTTGGGTGGAACTCTGCTTTGTCATGCTCCTGCTTGTGGATTTTAAATTTTAGATCTTGCTCCTTGAAATTTGCACTTTTTAATGTTAGAGTTTTTATTAATTAATTAAATGTGTATGCCGCCCATCTCCCCTGGAGAGTTCGGTTAGATCTTGGTGAAATCTTGTTTGCACATACACCAGACTCTTACTTGTCATTGACAAAAGAATACATCAGCAGTCGCTGCTCAATGAACCATTTCCACTCAGGATTTTCATTCTGCAGATCTCGAAAGTTATCATTGGAAACAATGACCCCATCTTGCTCATAGGCCAATTTAACAATGTAGCGATCATCATAACACACCATTCTTTTGCCCTTTATTTTGCGGGATGGTGTATAGACAAGAATTGCTTGCTTTGCGAGACTTTCAAGGATATGCTGATCTAAAAGTAAAAATAAGACAGGAGAACAAATATTATAAAACACAGAAAAATTGCATGTAGAACTGGAAGATGAGCTTCAAAATATCAGCATTGCACAAGGAATCAAAAATTACTTGTAAAATTTTCATCCGTCAAGCTCATGTATTTATAAAACACAACTTAAATTCAGTGTTCATTTAATCTGGAATGAATCCTAATGCTTTCCATTTAATTAGAATGTGAACTGAAATGTAAATTACCTGGTAAATTGTGGTCTCCCAAATGTTGCTGATTATAAGTCCTAGACAACCTGGCCAATAATGAGAGATGCTAGATAGCAACATTTGAAGGATCACACATTCCCTGCCTGCTTAAGCATTGCTTGTTATGTTTATTTTATAAACTGAAGCAATAAGCTATCAGTTATGTATACAAGACGAGGTCGGTTTGGGATCCATGATAATTCAACAATTCATTCTCCCATTTGGGAGCTGAGCAGCCTAGAAATGTTACAAATTACAGTACATTGTTGTTGGGTACAGAAGTGCAGATGGAGCTGAAGATCATGAATATGGATATAAACAGTAATTTGTTGTCCATAAATAGCACTTTAGTGAGGTGGTAAGCGAAATACTGCTTAATAGAACAACCTCTTGAGAAAATTATCTAAGATTCCACTATAAACAGACAAATACTAGTGGTGCTTACAATGAGGAACATTGTACTACTCTTCCTTTACAGTGTAATATTTATTCTAGACATATTGCCATGATACTTTGAAATCCACTTTTATTTTAGGCTTCAAAATAAAATATCTTATAAACATGAGATGTTAAATCTCTAATTGTAAGCATTAGTTGTTAGTAATCCATTTATGCAGGAGTCTCTGAGAATCTGAATTCTAGATATTACTGCTATAGGTGCAAAATAAAAAAGAGGATTGCTAGTTTGTTGAAGTCATAATTTTATTGACTTCAATAAAATTGGTATTTACTATATTGGTAAAATAATAAATAAGCAAGCCAGCTGCTGGGCCTCAGCCTCTTTGGACAAAAATAGTAAGAATGTAAAGGAAGGTTATTTAAATATTTGAAAACCAGTGGCTATAGCAAAAACTGATTAGGGGTGGTTCTAATTGTTCTTATGCGCTTTATGCCATAGAAGCAGTGTTCTAATAAATACTTAATCTCATTGATTGAAGTATGAATAATTTGTAACTGGGAACTAATACTTCATATTGAAAATCTGTTGGATCTATTCCTACCTGTAACAGGGGTATCAAATCGAGATTGTTCCTTTCTCCAAGATGGAACGAAAACTTTGATGTACTGGTGACCTCTTTGTTTGAACCAATCTACCACCAGCTGAATTCCTAAGCATGAAAACACTTCCTTGTTTCCATGACTGCAAAAAAAAAAAAAGATTATTTTTGAGTGTTAGCAAGTTACAGTGCTTTTTAATGGTTTCTGTCACATATCACCTGCTGAATTTAAATGAGCTCTAGTGCCTAGGAGCTAAAATTCCTGGCAAGTGGGAGTGGACTTTTCTTTAAAAATAAAAGAAAATAATATGAATTTATAGAATTTTATTCTATATCGAAACCCATTTTCTTGTTCAGAATGCATCTACAGGCATTTCTTTTTCTAATTGTTATGTGCTTTCAATACTGATTCTGAGGGATGGGCCCTCAGTTCTAGAAAAAGCAAAGTATGTCTGATGTACTACATGTCTGGCTGCTGCTGCTGCCCATAACATCAGTGGCATTTTGTAGATCTATCTTTAAAAGTAAGGTGAGGAGAGAAGACTGTTACCTTGGTCTATTCTCCTTCCAGATCCTTTTTGTTATGAAACTTTTGGGAAGAAGGATTCAAAGCTGGATATTATTTCATATTCTACTGACCCAGAAATCTATCTTGATACACAACCAAATGTTGGGAGAAAGGTCGGAAGTATGTGGAGCTAGCAATACAACTATGAGTAAGATGTCTAATGTTCAGGATCTGATCTGATCTGATGTGAGAAGCCCCGTTAAAGTGGTTAGACGCCTGGCAGACTTCTATAAAAAGAGTGGTGTTTCAACCACCCAGGTATGACCTTATTAAAATCAGTCTCTTGAATTTTGCCTGAAATCAACCTGTCAGCAGTAAAATTCCTTTCAGCCTGAAGATGTTTACCTGTACAAGTAACAGGGAATACATAAGGTATTCTGCATGAAGTAAGAGTTTCTACATAGTTTCTAATTATCTAGAATCTATCTGACACATAACCATTTCAAGATGAGTTCCACCCTTGAGTTTTGAATGTTATGCTAGGGCAACAAATGGAAAGAGCAGAATCTTATTTCATTAACTTAAAATTACACTTAAATTAATTGCATACAATTAATAGGATTTCTCACGTATTCATTTAGACCTTTTTTAAAATTCTCAGTTTGGTAACAGCTTCTTTATTAAAGCAATTTGTATGCCACCTACTCACTGGTCTTCAGGTGGCTTCACTAATCCTAAAGATTTTGAGTGAAACACAGATCATGGACCTGTAACAAAAAGGGGGAGGCAGGCTTTTTTTCCTGTAGTTTTTCTTCTCTTCATGGAATTTAACTAACCAGACAATAATTTTAGCTATATCACAATTACATAGTAAAACTGCTTAGTTTCTGCTATATGTAAAAACATTTGTTTAAAAATCCTAGAATAAGCTAATGATCCTATCTCTACTTTGAATATTCCGGATAATAGTTACTGCTTCTGTTATATGTTATAAAGTAAATTTCCCTTCAACTCAAGTTTGACTTCTGATAGCTTCGAGGACATGTTGATGTACTTTTCTTGGCAAAAATATGAAAGTAGTTTGCCATTGCTGGCTTCTGAGGTGTTTTTAGGGCTAGATCATCCAAATAGAAACTAGATTGAACCTTGTTTAGGTGCTGCCACCTAGCTGAGCGTTATATGTTACAATTTTTTTTCCAATTGTGCAGCAAATTCCTGTTTGCATGTACATCTCCATAATAAATCTAGAAAAAAGTTCTGCAGTCTAGCTAGAACTCCAAATTCGTATGACATGGACCAAGAGGGAGATGCACACAGATTTGTGATTAGTGAAATCCATTGCTAGGTTGTCAGAAGGTGATGGGTTTAATTTTGGGTTTAATTCTACTGAAACTTTATGGTGATTTTGATGTGCTTTGTAACTAAAAGTCTGCTGTTTGCTTATGAAGACAAACTCATTATCTTAACACAATTTCCAGTATAGAACAGTGGTCAATATTTGAGTTGTAAGCTAACCATAATCTAGAGGGCAGTTGGTTAGAGAAGGCTGGTATCAAAGTGATTTTCATTTCCTTCAATTTAACCAATGTTTTTGTACATTCACAAGCAAATTCACAGAGCTTCTTGATTGCTAAACATAAAAGCTTATTTACACTAGCATTGTTGTAATCGCCCTGTTAGATACATTTTCCTTGATACTGGAGTTCCTGATATCCCCTCCGGGGTTGCTTGTTCTGGGTTGTTTAATAAGAATTATAAAATCCTTGTTGACTTTCACACACAGGTCCCTGCATTTTCCTGAGAAACTTTGGATTCCACTCATAAGGGAGAGCAGCTTATTTGTATGGATCACCTATGCAGTTAAAGAGGTGAGTCAGGAGTAATTTACTCCAACTTTTAGTGATCTCTTGATTAGGTGAACAGCATTACTCATCTGATGCCACTAGATCTATTGGACTACCACTCACATAATTCCCAGCAGTTGCAATCTCACTGTTGGGGGATTATGAGAATCGTAGTCCATCAAGTCTGACAGGTGGAAGGTTGTTATTATTTCAATTTAGAAAAGCTGCCTAATTCCAAATCAACTCAAGGCAATGTACAAAAATGTTAAAACCAAAAATGTTAAAAGCAAACATAAAAATTAAAAGCCAATAATGTTGTAAACAAAAAAGTTAATCTAGCGGTGTTTCTCAAAAGTTGGCAACCTTAAAATATGTAGACTTCAACTCCCAGAGTTCCCCAGGCAGCATGGCTGGCTGAGAAATTCTGGGAGTCGAAGTCCACACACACACATTAAAGTTGCCAAGTTTGGGAAACACTGATCAAGGATACATCAAGGACACTTGCAACTATTATGCCAATCCGAGAGCCTGGCATCCTGACTACATAATCCAGGAACTAATGTAGAAAATAGATTGAGGTTTAGCCTTAGAAAAGGCTAAACCAAGGCAGAGAGTCAAAACCAGATGACTGCTAAGTGACTGCCAAACTTTGTGAAACCATTCCTTCTACAGGCAGGGTGGTAAGAAAGCTTGATGAAAATAGATTGTGCCAGAACTTGCAGTTCAGTACAGCTGGAGGGCACCAGGTTGGGAAAGGCAGGTTTGTGCTCAGCGGAGTGGTGTGTGTGCGTGCAGGCACCATTCATTATTTTTTGTTCTTTCCCCATACGTGCCCTGCCCTTCCTTTAAATGTGAGGCCACAAACTCTACAGCCTCTTTCCTGTGCCACTCAACCACCCTTTGGTTTTTATCATCAGGAAGTCTGCAAAAAAAAGTGAAATCTGTTATCAAAATGTAAGAATTCTTATTTTCTCCTGGCAAGTATGATTTTGTAATAAAGCAGGCAGCAGCACAGAAATTGGCCTTGGGAGCAGACCTCCCTGAGATAGGATGCCTGTCAGTTTAGGAAACTTGCACAAGTAGATTTTGAATAGAGCTTTTTTGTGTGTATGCCTATTTTGTCTCCTTCGCTTCCCTTCAGCTACAATTTAGATAGGATCAGTTCACACATGAAATGCCTGTCCCTTGCTCCCTGTTTGAATCTAGCACGTACCCATGCTGTCATAGCTCAAATATGTCAGAGAAGAACTTTACGTCATAAAAGTTCAAATGCAACACAATTATCCAGTTAATACTTTGCCTTCCTGAAAATAGGAATGGTCATCCCAAGAGCCCACACCTGCATTCACCATATTTTAAATGTTCCATCTCGACTCATAACATTTTAGGATTGTAGAGCAAATAGAAGCCATTGAGATAACAAAACGGAAAGATGCTTGCCTCATTGCGACGTTGCTCCCATCAATTACAATAGGTCTCAAGTGACTGGCTGCCTCACTTGGTTCCTCAGTAGAGCCCTGGGGAAACGGCAAGGGCCCGTACGCTCCATGGGCGGCAGGACTGGGCTGAGAACACTGTGTCCTGTTCTCACTCTCTTGAGGTCTCCTCCCCATCTGAATCAATTCTTGTAGCAAATCATTCTCTGAAGCCTCTTGGCCTAATTTCTCCAGCACTTTGCATACTTCCTTCTTGTTATAGCCCAGCTTGTGGAAGAATTCAAGCTTGTTCTGTTGTGCTTCCATGTTTGCACAAAGATAGGAAATCCTGCAGGAATAGTACTTTCTAAAGTGGAAAATCAGCTGGTATAGCTTTTTGTGCTGCTTTTAATCAATAATGATCATCCAGTGTAGCAACTGACAACATGTCTTGAGAGAGAGAGAGAGAGAGAGACAACAAAAATAACTGTTTAGTGTCAAGTCCAATATAAAAGACAGGAAAACTTCAGTATTAAGCAGTTCTTTGTAATATAATTAGTTGCCACAGAATTTTGCATACTTTCTTTAAAATATTATAAAATTATAAAATTGAAGTATTGTTTATAAAATAATCAACATGTCTCTATTATTCCAAAAGAAATCTCTATGTAACTTTAATAAACATAATAAACGTTTGCTTTTCATCCATGATGTGTATTGCTGAGCAAACCCCAATCCTTCCCAATATCTATGTTTTTATAGATATAATATCAACAGATATTCAGAGACAAAAGGTTCTTGGGACATACTTATTCCCATGAACCTCCCTTTTTCAAACTGATGCCCACTGTCAGAATTTGTAACTTGCCTGATGAACCTGGGAGAAATAATCCTAAATTATTTGGGGAGCCCCAAATTGCAAAAGGCTGATGCAGAATTTTTGCTGCTTAGGATTCAGTCTCCTCAAGGGACAATTTATCACATGTCAATATTATGCTTTATAGATGTTGGGTAAAATAGAATATCAGATCTATTTAGATTTCTTTTGAGTTAAGAAAAGCTCGAGGATAAAATAGAGTCTTTGCTTAGCCTGTCTCAAATTGTGTTAGCTCTCTTGACTTACCAGATGTGTACAGCCTGTCTTGAGATGTTCTGAGCATCAGTGATTCTCTCTTATTAAATATAACCTCTGGGCAACCAATATCCATCAGAGCATCAGGTATGTGCCTAAGATAGGTGTGCAAGCGTGACGTAGGCAAAATCCTGTGCATATACATACGCACGCAGATGGTTGACTCCAGCCTTATCTCTGATTAAAACAATGAAAAACAACTTCATGAAGGAGTTGCACTTGTGCACTGTGGTTAGCAAAGTACAGATACCATCTCTTTTGCTGGTGAAGTTAATAGCAAATGCTTAGCAATAAACAAACTTTGTCCAGTGTTATGAAAAAATGTGTCATTGGCAACTTGAGACCTGATTATGAGGGAGGCGGGAGAGGTTGCTTTGAGGGCAAGTTTAAGAAACATTATGTAAAGAGAACATGCAGCCTTCTAAATGTTTTGCACTTCAGCTTCTAGCAGTCACTGTGAGCTAGTGAAGGAAACTCAGAACTGTCATTCTGCACATCCTCTTTCCAAGGCAGACCTGCACTGCATTTCTGAATTTAGCTCATTGTACCCTTTGAATTCTGCTAAATCCCAGACAACTTAACAAACAACAACTAACTTACAATTTTAACATATTCATAGCATTTATGACTCCATCAATTTTTCTTTGATATTATTTGGCGTTAATTTCAGTTCTGCTCTTCAACACATCAGTATCATTCCCACATAGATTTTTAAAATAGTCCTTGTAGTCTTCCCTTGCTTCAGTTTCCTCACAACTTATTTCATTACTTTTTATTCCATTTACTCTGCGGGAGGCTCCTTGTTTAACCACCTTCACCCACTCCCAAAACAATGTTCATATTTCCATCAAAGTTGCTTGGCATTTTCTCTGCCTTGCTCAATCTTTACCATTCCTTGATCATTTTGACTATATTCTTTGCAGCCATCTTTTACTCTATATACACGTTACTCAGTATTTTTTATAATTTCTTACAGTAAGCTTTCTCGTTTATGCATTTTTCTCATCCATAGTCTCTTTTACTTTATTCCACCAAGCCTTCTAGTTCATAATTCCACACCCTTTTGTGGCACTTGGTACCACATTTTTTCACTCTTGCTCAAAGCAACTTCCAAATTGTTTTTTCTTATGTCCACTAATCCACTCGTTCTAGCTTTTAATAATCTTTTCATGCAGGATTTGTATTTTTTTTTCTTTCTGCAGTTATACTTTTGTTTTGTATCTTTCACTTGTTTCCTTTTCCTCCATCTCTACTTTTTCCCTAAGATCCACTTTTGAAACTACAAAAAGTGATCTATTCCATGTTTAGAACTTGTCACCACTCTTATATTCTTCGGTAATTTTCTCAATCTTTCATTATATATAATCAAATCTATCATATTATTAGATCTATATTCATACTTTTTCTGTATGCATACATGCATAGGCTTATGCTTAAACAACGTAACAAACAGATCTTTACCTAAACATTACTTACTAAGCAGTGTTCTAGTTAATTCTTTGATCTCCTAATCCAATTACTTTTCTGTATTCTGTCTTGTTTCCACCCATTCGTTCATGTCACCTAAGAGAATAATTTTTCCCCTTTGATTGCATTCATTAAGAATATTGCACAGTTGTTCCCTTACCACCATTCACTGGATTACAACTATTGCAACTAATACTTTATTATAAAGCTGTGTGCTGCCCAAGTCCCAGTCAAATGTAGGGATGGCTACTTTACTTCAATAAATTGTGTCCTGGAGGATTACATTACAGGGGGAAATTTGGAGTGGGGAATGTTCATTTTCACAAATTGAAGGGGGAAAAAAACCTGATGGATAACTAGCTCCAGATATACTGTTATAAGCACATCCTATTCTTCTGCAAGTTTTTAAAATTCCACTTAATTCTATGGACTGCTAGCTAGACACTTCGCTTGCAGTTTTGGAGAGACCAATCCTTGCCTCTAATGTACCAAGGCATGAATTTGGACTTGATAATTTTATTTCTGAATGTATGGTCTATCACATACTGCAGCACATTTGAAAAAGCGGTCAACTAATTTGATGCCTTTGAGTCAGTGTTGATTCCTGGTGACTGCCTGGATTAGTCCCTGCGGTTTTCTTGGCAAGACTTCTGGAAGTGGTTTGCTCTTGCCTCCTTCCTAGGGCTGACGGGGAGTGACTGGCTCAAGGTCACCCAGCTGGTTTCGTGCCTACGGCAGGACTGGAACTCCCAGTCTCTAGCCTGGTGCCTTAACCACTACGCCAAAGTGGCTCTCTGGTCAGTACGTGTGTCTGAAGAGCACTATATGCAGTTGAGTAATATGACATAGAGGTTAGCTCATTCCAAACCCTTGCTAAGTGTTTATTTAGTCAAGCGTTTCTATCTGCCTGCCTCCTTCTTTGAGAAATATTTTATAAAAATTTGCAACCCCCACCCCACTTTCCATTAACTATGCGTGTGTGTCTCTTATACAGTGAAAATATCCCAATCACCACTTCTCTTCAGTTGGTCAGATTCAGTTACTGTTTCTCAACCTGCAGCTTTGGTACACAGGAAAGGGGAGAGCTGGCTGCTTTCCTTTGGTCTCACTGCGTCACTCCGTTCCCCTGGAGTCTGTTGACATTCTGTGCCATTACTATCTTACACTCTGAAAGTGGGAAGGTAGGTATTTCTTAGACCAACATTGTTTTTTCTCAATATACTTTGCCTACACACTTGGTGTTATCCAGGTCTACTGATCTCTCCCTCTTGAGTTATATGACTCTAGAGATATGCTGAACAACATGGACACCAACAGCTAGCTTTGGGTGCGCCTTGTTCAAAGTGAAACGTGTTCCTGATGCTTTGGTCCAAATATGGACCCAAAATGTGACCGTTTCAGGCAAAAGTGATTCAGAGAAGGGGAAAAGTGAGAAAAAGCAAGACATTAATGGTGGCAGTAACAGGAAGAGAAGGAAGGACAAGTGCTGGAAACATCAGGGGCAGGCTGGTGGGATATGCCATGTTGGGTTCCTGCTGACCTCTGCTGGGCTAATAGATCAGTACTGGATGAAGGGGGAGAGGGGAAGGGGATGGGAAGATTGGGGGGATGGATGGGTTGGTAGGATAAGCTCTACAGGGAGCCATGGAGGGAAGAGAAAGGGCAATGAGCACCAGTCTTAACTTCTAAAACCACTCTGGGTTCCTTCCAGATTTTGTTTCTGACCAAAGTGTTCAGGGTTGTTTTTGCTGAACCGTGGCTGAACAAAAATGGTTGAGAAGTCAGTAACACGATGGTTTGTATCAAATTCAAGAAAAAATATGTTTTCCATTTTGTCCCCATCTGTTTGATTTCCTTCAAGGCTGCAGAGACAACTCTGCCCTGAGAGGCAGCGCTCTCCCTACATTCCAAGCAGATGGAATCTAGGCCAGTTCCTTGCTTGTACTCAGGGCAGGATTCACGTATTCTACTAAATACTCTATTAAACAAATACTTAAAGATGCTGCTTGGCTCCCATTTGCTCTTGCTTCCTCTCCCCCACTGAATGCTTTTGCAGAACTAGGTTAAAAGCAAATGGTCTGTACTCACAGAAAGCGTAGTGCCTTTGCTTAAGAGACCAGAATGGCTAGGTTGGCTGCGCCTTCGCTGTATCCACAAGGAGATGCAGAAGGCTACAGTGCGTTTGCAATTCTCAAGGAAGTTCAGCCTTTTTTTTTTTAAGGCACACTGTTACTGATTTTGACAAAGTGCAATGTACAGACTGCAATTCATTTCATGGAAACATTTCTACTTCCTTAATGGGCAACTCCTCATTTAACATTTCAGACTTTGATTTAGCAAGAGGGAGGGAAAGCACAAAGGTCATTGCCATGTGATTAGCAGAAATCATAAACACCAGTGTTTTAGCTTTATTAGAACATTTGTTAGCAACAACACATTAATCAACAAATGTGTTTTGTTCTCTCTCCTGCTTTTTGCTGCATTGTGATGCAGATTTATTCAACTTCCCTTTGCTCCCCCTCTCAAAGCAAGGCCTTGGTGGAATTGCCTTGGTGGAATGAGAGGCACATAAGGAAATAGGCTAAGTGCCTTTTTACTGCTTGTATTTTAGCACACGGCTTTGCTTAGCAAAGAAGGTGGAAGATCTAAGCTTTCAGTTGCTGAAGCGATCTGATGTATCAGGTCTGACATGAAGAGTTTTGGCACTGCTCTAAAATGTATATTATTCTAAGAAAATCTGCAAGTTTATAATATTTATTTTCTTTTAGCTTCCCAAAGAAAATTTTCTATCCTGCAAACATGGTTAACATGGGAACTTAAAGGAATCCAGCTGCAGTCAGATCGTGGATAACTAGATGAGGATTTCAGTGGGATTTAAAACAGAAGTGCAAGCCTTTTCCAAGCCAAGGATTGTTCTTGAGAAGCATGGTAGGGCAGCAATTAGGAGGGGTTGGGACAAAACATTAATGATTAATTAATGATTACCTCACCATACAAAGAATACTTTTCCTTTTTCTTCACACTAAAAAATTATAATTTGCTAGGGATCTAGGGGCTAGATGTACCTCTGATTTGCCCATTCTGGTTTAGAATCATTACTGTGAATTGAATTGTTCTTTCACTGCACTGTTTAATATGAACAAATAGTCCACAGAAGATGACATGCATTTGTGAATAATGTTTTAAGGGAGAAAATCTAACATTCATTTACAAATCATTTTTTTTTTAAAAAGTAGCTGATAAGAGGGTCTAAGTAAAAAAAAAGAACTTGAAACAGAAAAAATTATCCTGTTGTAGTTTATACCTGTAGCTATGGTTTAACAAGCATGTTCTTTTTTGCGGATACTGTTTGCTTATAGCAACAAATAGCTGTGTTTTCCAGAACAAGTAATCTATTGCTTTCTCATTGACATAATATTATAATTTGCTTTCATAAAATGAATGTAGTTAGAAGTAAAAAACCTACCACATACATATATGTGATAGCTTTTACATTAAGAAGGTATAATTTTACATTACCAAACAATGCTGAATTTCAAAAACCAAATACAAATACAAAACCCACAGGATTTGTTATACCTTCCTAACTGAGATAAACTCAGAGATATGTTTGCTAAAATAGATTAATGTTGCTGTACTAAATGGCAGTGAAACTAAAAATGTGCATGGAGATGTTGCAATCATTACAAAATGGGGATATCTCTTGTGATAATCTAGATTTATTCATATAGTGCACTGCTACAGTGCAAAGTGATGCTTCTCATTTTCTCTCTGAAAGGAAAAGTATTGTCACTTCCATGAGATGAAGTACTATCTGCATATGCTAGTGCATGTAATGAACTATGTATCACACTATTTATTGGTATAGATATAACAGGAACCCTCAACTGGCAACACATTTGTGTGACAAAACCGTATCTCCCTTATCTCATGTAATAGTACACTCTTCACTCATGACTGGCTTCCTATAAGAAAAAGGGAAGTAAACTCATCTTGTCTTGAATAATGTCCTCAATGTTCCTTTCAGAGTTAAAAGCGATTTAGAATTCCTTTCTGCCAGTAGCAACAGTAAATTGCTATTCGTAATAACCCAAATATTGCAGATTCCTTGTTACTATTCTGCTGCATGAATTTCTCTAATCTCTACAATTTGCAACTTCCAAAGACAATGACAGTAATAGCAGAATCCATCCAACAGAGATGTCCTCCCACAGAACCCCATGATGCAAAGTCAAAGAGGGAGCTTGAAGACTTTCTGGAAGGGAAGGCATCCGTAGTTTCTAATGGCAGATAAATGCTGGGGATCAGCTGCTTTCCGTTAATCCGCCTTCATTTATATTTGGACTTTTCCTTATCTTTGGACTTCTTGGGGTTCCGGCCTGACTTTTTCTCTTCATGATGTTCTCTTTCCCAGGCTTCCTCAGGATACTTGTCTTTAGACTTTTTGTGGTGGCTTTCTCTCTCCCGAGAATGGCTCCGACATCTCTCTCGCTTGTCACTTTTTTTTTTCTCCCTATTGCATTCTTCTTTGTGCCTTCGGTTAGGCTCCTGGTAAAAAAATGATGAAAATGCAGTTATTTGCACATAATATAGACAGTTGAAGAATCAGAAGAGTAGAGAAGAGTAGCAGGTAGAGCACTAAGAGTTTTTAAATTCTGCCTTATTTTCGTGTTAGTCCTAGAGAATGAATAGTGACATGCCAATTAATTAGAAGTAAATTATGCATAGCTACACCTGTAAAGGAACCCTCGGGGAAGAACAATACAGGTAGTCCTTGCTTAACGACCATAACTAGGACCAGAATCTTGATCATTGAGCAAAGTGGACGTTAAACGAGATGCCTACATGACTGCTTCGCTCAACCACCACAATCTGGGCACTCCCGGTTGCAGTTGTCAAGCTATCTCCTGGGTCACTAGGTGGACAGAGTGAAAGAGCTACCTGCTGAAGGATTTCAGCTCCGCATGGAGCTGAAATCCTCCCGGCAGGCAGCTGTTTCGCTCTCAAATGTGCCTGTAACCCGCTGAAGGGTTTCCCCTCCCTTCTGCACATGGGGCTACAGGAACGGAACTGAAATCTTCAGGATTTGAGTTCCATTCCTGCAGCCCACCAAAGGGTTTCCCCTCCCCTCCTTGGATGGAGGGGAAATCCTCCATGAGGCTGCAGGAATGGAGCTGAAATCTTCAGGATTTGAACTCCATTCCTGCAGCCCACAGAAGGATTTTAGCTCCCCTCCATCCCCTCTGCTTGCAACCTTCCCTGCCAGCTTCCCCATCGACTTTCTGGGGAAGGCGGCAGAGAAGATTTCAAATGGCAAATACATGATCATGGGGTGCTTGGCAACCGGTTGTAAAGGCATGCTATGTTTGTGATTCACATGGTTTAATGACCTGAGCTACTTGGGAAAGATATGATTTGATTTTCAGCTAAGCTCTTCTCTTGCTGATTTAACTTTGCCATCCCTGGTGCAGCAGTTCTGATGACCTGCAAGGTTATGATCCCCTATGTCCGCTCTCTGGATCACTATCTCAAAAGTATTTTTTCCCAGTTTATATATTTATATATTTATTGAAACAGAAAAAATAACTACAGAAAGCAGAAAAGTAAAAAGAAATGAATGAAATAAAATATCAATAAACAGGGAACCATTCTTGCTTAAATTTGCTCAAGCTTCTGTTATGAATATATACTTTTCATTTTGTTAATGCTGTGTATTCCCCCAAGTGTTTTTTCTCAGTTTGGTATAATTAGCAAAGTGTCTGGCCCAGTGTTGAGCCAGATTTGTCCTCATGGCCATCAGCATACATCTTAATAAATTGTGATTTGTGTGTGTGTGTTCTGGGACAATTCCTAGCAAAACAAAAACAACAAAACAAAACAAAACCCTGAAGTTTCAATTCAAACTTGTTTTTAAGATTTGTGGAATAATGTGTATTTCTTTCCAGTACTACTGTTTTTTTTTTTCTCATAACAACCACATACCATAAAATGTTCTTTCTTTATCATAACATTTCCAGCATTTTTTGTTGTATGATTTACCTATTTTTGTGATTATTAACAGTTATATATCATCTGTAAAACATTTTATGCCAATTTTCTCTTAAATTATAGCTCCTCAGAAAGGTTGGAACCCATAATTTCAGTCTACTATAGGCAACTAAGTTACTACTTACTAGCAGAAGGTTTTCTAAAATAGCCTATTCTTTCTGTTATTATTAAATAAAGGTAATCCAGTTATTGAGGTTTTTTAACACAGACAGCACTTTAGAACAATGTTAAGTCAACAGAGTCTGGTTTCAAGGAGCTTATGGTTTATAATTCCCCAGGAAAAGACTATTTGCCATGAGGGGGAAATCAGATCTCAGCTAAAAAACATCCAAGCAGAAAATAACCATCAGACAACTAAAAACACAGGACTGGATGAAAGGGGTAAATTCAAGGGTGAAGAGACAGAGTTGACAATAATCAGCATATCAGTAGTTCTGAAAATCCTGGAATTTGATGAATTAGAATGCCCAGAGAATACTGGGCAGCCAAGAACAGATACCTGATGGACTCCACATTGGAGAGAAAGCCAAGGTTTCCTCTTGTTTGCAAATGAATAATTAAGCAGGTAGCAAAAGAACTACTTTAAGCCAGTATCAGATACAGAGAATGAAAGCAGTAGGATAGAGAGAATAATTGGGCATATTAAGGGAACAGAGCATGCAAGGAGTATGAAAACAGGCAAACAACTTTAAGATTTAGCAGTGAATCTGGTGAGGACAATACAGAAGCCTCCTCCAAAGAGAAGACAGTAGAGGTAGTCTTTGACTTACAACCATTCTTTAATGACCATTCAAAGTTACGATGGTACTGATAAAAGTGACTTATAATCTACAGTGGGGCAAAAAAGTATTTAATCAGCCACCAATTGTGCAAGTTCTCCCGCTTAAAAAGATGAGAGAGGCCTGTAATTTTCATCATAGGTATACCTTAACTATGAGAGACAAAATGGGGAAAAAAATAAAACCTTTGGAGGGAGTTGAAAGTCCGTGTTGCCCAGCGACAGCCCCAAAACATCACTGCTCTAGAGGAGATCTGCATGGAGGAATGGGCCAAAATACCAGCAACAGTGTGTGAAAACCTTGTGAAGACTTACAGAAAACGTTTGACCTCTGTCATTGCCAACAAAGGATATATAACAAAGTGATTTTTTTCCCCATTTTGTCTCTCATAGTTAAGGTATACCTATGATGAAAATTACAGGCCTCTCTCATCTTTTTAAGTG